GTTTCGGCGGACGAGCGAGACGAATCGGGGATAGAAAGGAGAAAAAACGAGGCGCGAGAAGATTAAGCCGGTGGAACGGGATCGTCCTAGTACTTCGGACTAACCTTCCTGCTGAGGCCACTCGGCGCAACCGTGAACTTTAGGAAAAGTGACAAAGATTATCGTCGCGCGGCCGATAAAGACCGGCTCTCGGGCTCCGGCCGGTCGGGGGCCTCTCGTTCGCTCGCTTCAATAGCTACGATCGAGCAACAAGCAAAAGCAAAGTGCCACGAAGTGTTTCGTTCCGGTTTTTCACGCGCCTCTTCGCCGCCGCCGCCGCCGCCTCCGATGGACGGCCCTGTGGTATTGCCACAATTAACTGGCCGCCGGTCGCGGCGGTGGCGGCGGCTAATAACACGCTCTCTGGTGTAAACCACCTACTATCGAAGAGGTAAAAGTCCACTCCGCGGTTCACGATTCCTCCGTCTATCGTGGAGGAGAACGAAAGAATAACAAGCTGTGTTGATTGCAGGGATCAACTCATCGGCCACGGCTGGCTCGAGAAATCAGCGCGTAAATGGGTGGTTTCGGCGAGACGCGAGCGTGATCCGTTTTCACTTCACTGTAGCGGGTAGCAGAGAGTATCGGTCTATTCCCGTCGAGTGTTACGAATGTATACGAATTTCTAATAGTGATCGTCGAGGAGTCTGCGAGGGGATCTAAATAGTTTCACTTGGGTATCGGTTGGAAGTCGGAATCTCCTATGCATCGAGAGACGCGTTAGTTAACAACGTCCTGTTCCATGAAAAGAGAATTTCAAACTGTCTTTAGGCTATCCGCAAGAGAGAACGAGATAAGTCTCCCTGAATTTCGACTCGAAGAGCGAAGTTCCTCTCCCGACGAAGGCAACTCTAATATCCGAAATAACAGCAACTACGATCAATCACGATATCATCCGACGGTCGGTTGGCTCACTCCGACTCCCGTTATGCAATCCCCGAATTAGTCTCGCGGCGCCGGTAATTGCAGGCAGCGAACGATGGAAAAAACCGCGGAACAATCGGCTCCGCGAATTTCGCGCGCGATGGAAGAATCTCGATGAACCGGCCGTCCGATGCTAGCGACCCGGAACCCGTCCGCTCGTAAACGAAGGGATCAGGTCGGAAACGAGAGAAAACGAGACGTAAAAGAGGAAGAAAGAGAAGAAAAAGAAGAAGAAGAAGAAGAAGAAGCGTAAGGGGACACGGGAAGAAGGCGAGCTGGTCTAATTGCCGGTCAAGGCCCGCGTTACTGGGGAGGTTGACAGTGTCAGAGGTAAGCGACCATAATCGGGGTACCGTTGACCTTCCGATAATCACCATCCCGCGGCACGATCCTAACGCGTCGAACGCGAGAAACAGAAATCCACTGATCGAGGAGCATGCTACGATGGAATTCGAGGCGAAGCCGAGGATCCTGTAAGCCACGGATCCGTGTCTAATTGGGAGCCAACGCGGACCGCTAGCCGGTTAGCCGCGACCAGAGGGCCGGTTGCGGGGGTCAGATGGAGGAGACAAAAGAAAAAAAAAGGAGGAACTAACATCCACTCACACGGCGTCCGTGGTACTGTTGTTCTTCGGCTTGCAGTACTGTTCCAGCTGCGCGAGGGTACACTGTCGATAGCAGCACTCCTCCGCTAAGCCCGGCCCGACTGACTCCTGCGGGTCGTCCTCGCTGCTGTACGAGAACGGCTCGTTGTATCCGCGGCCCTTGCACGCCAGATAAAGCGCGTCGCTCAGACTCCTCGAGCACAGCCTGAGCAACGACCGCTTGTAGGGGATGGCGGTCACGCTGTCCAAAAGTATGAGCAGCACCAGGCCCAGCATGACCATCCTCTTCGCGCCGCCTCGCCCGGAGGACGCGCTCGCGCAACTTCTCGACATGTTCAACTGGCTATCTCTAACCGGCACAACAGACACTTCGATACCTTCCGCCTTGGTCCGGCTACTGTCCGTTCAATTCTGCACACTGCGATCAGGCCTGTGTCTCTTTGCCTCCTTGAACCGTTCGCGGTCAGTCTTGTAGCATTCTCTGGCTGACCGCCTCTTGTTGCCCGTGTTTTCACTGTAGACAGGTCCACGGTGCTTCTGACGTCTCAGCAGTCTAGGGAGTCCCTTCGGGTTCCCTCGGAAACAGTCTTTTCGTTGTTGTCTCTCCTCGGTTCAGATTACTTCGAGAATCCTGGTGTCTCTCGGATGATCCTCTAAAGCTGTAGAGTCACTTGAGGTTCCCGTGTTCTCGCGCGGTTGATCCCGACTCAGCAGCGTTGAAAACTCGGTCGACAGGTGGTTGTCGCGGCAGGGAAGAATCGACGGAACGATCTGGCACGCCGGTAAGAGCGAATTTTGTTCCTCGAAGAGACCTCCGCTGGTACCGAGTTCCTCGGTGCCACTGGTACCGGCTTGCTTCGCCACGCGGTTCTTGTTCCAGATTTCACGGATTAAGAGGAGAGGCAACGATAAGACGACAGATCGAGGAGAGGGAAAGACGCGACCGCCCGGAGCAGAGATTGGCCGGACGGGGAAGACGCGAAGTCGAGGGGGAGCGAACGAAGAACAGAGCGTGAGGGAGAGAGAGAGAGAAAGAGAGGGGTCAGCCCCAGCCGAGCTGACTGCTGGTGGTACTAGACGGCCGATCTCGTGTGTCGGCCAGCGGCGGCGGCGGCGGCGGCACACCAGACGGCACCGGGAGTAGGGGTCGACGGGAGCGAGATCGCTCGGTCTCTTTCTCATTCCCTCGGTGCGGAGGAACCGAATCCGACCGCGCGTTCAGCCCGTACAACGAAGTTGAAGGCGAAACGGAATTCCTCGCGATCCTCTTCACCAGTGCACCCTTGTGTGTTCGCCGTTCAACCGATCCTGCGTGTAAGGGAGGTCGCGGAGGTCAGGATGGTCGCCCGACAGTACATCTGCGTGACATTACTCAGTTTATTAGAAACAGTGACCGTGTTGCTCTGAGAGCTTCCTATTCGAAAACCTCGTCCCGTTCGAATCTGAAAAGAGGCAACTCGCAATTCGGTTTTCACACGTGCGCCCTGTTTTATGGACACTGCGTATCCTGCAGAGTACGCAGTATCAAAATTACGTCTGTTCGATGGACTGTCCTCTATTTCGAACAGGAGTATCTACTTCGAACATCATCGATTTTATCATTTTACTTCACTCTCGCAGAGTTCACTCTCCGATCGATCATCGCTGGATACCCTAATTCTATCGAAGCTATCCCCTATTCCTTGAAACCATTTCCTTCCGCTGGAACCTATCGTCCTATCATCCGATCATCCTCCGATCGCCGATCCTAGTGAGAAAACACTCGAGACTGGGAAGATGATCGGATCCCCAGCGGAAAGGACAGCCGCTAATGGGGATCAGCGATTGATCATAGCCGTTTGGCCGCGGCCCGATAAATTCCGCGTATTTTTGAACAGATACCGTCCGGGAGACGTTCGTTCGACCTCCTACCCTCGTTTCTTTCCGCCGATCGTACCAATTCCACGACGATATCGTTAAACCCGACAAGACGGACGAGCCGTGTTTCCTTTCTCCTCTGTTTTGCTCCTCTGTCCCAGGTCCCCCACCCACGTGTCCCGCAGAGCTCGTCCTTTCGCGTTCCCTCCTAGAGTTCATCGTCGGGTGACGCGCCGCAACCGATTACCGCATTTTACACGACGCGATTAGATTAGCGAGTTTTCCACTACTCTTTCTCTTTCTCTCTCACTCTCTCTCT